AAAAAAAATGAATCACTGGGTAAATATTGATCTGTTGCTAAGTGAAGAAAGAAACATATTATCCCAGAGTTTTTCCTCCAGACATTAAAAAATTCATTTCTAGTGCATCTTTACCTTAAAACAGATTTTAAAACTGACTTGAATGCTCAAAGGTGAGGGAGAAGTGGGGGAAATCCCTGCTCTTCTGTTTTCAATGTTCACCTTTCATCAACTTATTTTCTATTCCAGAACAGCAAGAGGAAATGTTCTCCACATAAGTCACAATAACCGGCTGCTTCCGGTCAGGGTTACTGAGTAATGCCATCAGCTTGTTGTAAATCAGTTAACTTATCTTTCTAGCCCAGACGATTGTGGGTGAAAGCTGCAGACAGGCTTCCTCTAGGAAAAAAAATCTTCAAAGTCCCAGGAGAAGAACTTTTACTCGTAACAGACATATTTCCTGCCCTCAGCTTTAAATAGATGAGAGGCTGTGACAGAAATGCAACACAGAGAACTAACATTGAGGATAGCGGCTTCCGACAGAGGGATTAAAATAGAAAGAGGGTCACTGGGATATTGGAAGGCCACTCTGGGGCCAGTCCTGCTAAAGATTCTCATCGTAGACTGGCCCCTTACTGCCCCCTGCCTCACTTCTGTCACCTGCACCTTCAAAAAAGTCTGTCCACCTCTCCATTGATAAGGAGGGAACCAAGTCTGGAGTCACAAACTTTGGGTTCAGTTTCCTTCTCTGCTACTCCCAGTTTCCCCATCCTTAAAATGAGAGGGAAAATGAATCCAACCTCAAAGTGGCTAAGAGGATTACAAGGCATAATGCCTATGAGATACCCCCAAAAAACATACAATGCAGTCATGTGGACAAAAGAGCCAAGTGAAAACATCTTGATGATATGCTACATGAATGAAGGATATAGGTATTCCTAAAATTAGCATCTAAATGAATAACAAGAGGTTAAACGATGGAGGGGAAAAAGTGCATCCTGCCCTTCAATCATTTGTCATGTTCAAGTCAGAGAGCTTGGGTGTTTGGAATTGAGCTTCAGAAGTAACATTCCAACATGCTCTGAGAGGGCTGGTCCTGTCATCTAAAGGACAGGTCTCGGAAGGAAACAGTTTCTGGGGAACTTGTCCCCTCATAGCAACCTTCACACCATACCTAAGTAACCGAGGCTGGCCTCCGCACCTCTCTCGTTTGGATTTCACCAGGAGGGTGCATGGCAACTGGTTAATGACAGGGGTAGTGAATGCTGGGAGAGGTGGACATAGCAATGAGGTCCACGGAGACTGTGACCAGGGACACACTTCCATGGGGAGGCGGGGGGCGGAGGGGAGGGGATAAGTGCGTCTTATTAGAGGTCAAACACTGCTGGGCTAGTACCTTAGGCTCGTGAAGAAAGCGTGCCAGGGAGGGAAAAAAAGCAAAGAGAAACCATCGGACTTAATGTCCCTGGGTGACTTTTTAAAGGAAAACAGGAAGACAGGTAAAAAAGTGCCACAATCAGCTCTTCTTTTTCACTTTGGACGATTAGTATGGACTCAAACCTTACGTGACGTTTTTCTGGAGCCTGGACAAAGCAGCTTTGCCGTGGCTTCCTCTAATCACTCAGGAACCAGTGCTGGGTACAAATTTATACTCATCTGCATATAAACTTACAGGGTTTTTAATATCTTGGGTTTTCAAAAGCTCTTTAAAAATGAGATGGCCCAGGAACTGCATCTAGCTGGGTCCCACGCAATCTGAGAGTGTTACTTCAGTCCAGATTAGTAAATTATCTAAATTAAGTATTGAAGAAACATGCTGGACAATTTGAAAAGCATACAGATTCTGTGTACTCTCTTACAGAGGAGGTTTTTCATTGAAAACACTGCTTGCCTAACACCTGATATGGGGCCACTGTGATAGTCCCCTCAGCAGTGGCAGTTCCAAATTCAATATGACGACATTATATTGTACATGGCGCTCCACGAGAACTGGGCAACACAACTGAGTTATACATCTCTGTTACTTGATTGCAACCTTTGGTAACATTTGGCATCACTGTTGCAACGACAAGGAAACAGTACACAATAGCCAAAGCCCACGGGGCAGCTCCTCTGGCTAACAGCATGTGAACATGAACTAGACAATCAAACGAGGAAGCAAAGCCCAAACTCTCAGATGTGTCTGTCGCCCACTTGTCTGCTCTTAGAAGAGAGTCATTCACCCAGTGTCACCGACCCTCCCAGTAGAGGTGGTGTGGGGTTATATATCAGGATGCAGGGGAAAGCTTCTGCTGTGATCCACTTAGCATTAGAAACTCCGCAGAGCGTGGGTCACGCGCTGAGGGGACACAGTGTGAATACGACAGCTCTCCAAGCAGCTTCCGTCTGATAAGGCCCACCTGGCAGCATGGACTATGCCTGAAGAGGCACAAACAGAGTGAAGCAGCCATGGAGAGAAAGGAGGAAGGAATTCAGACCCAGGAGAACACGAAATGCTTCCTGCGTGAGGCTTGGCCTGAGCCCTGAAGAAAGATGCGGTTATTCACAAGACATGAACAGGGAAACGTGACCAGGCTTCGCTCGAAAACAGTCTGCGTGGCATAAAATGCACCATTTACAACTACGGTTTCCTTTCGCAGAAGCAGGGCTCACCCCTGCCACCTCCAAGTTACAGACCTGGGCTCACGCAGGGACACCCAGTTCACTCGGAATGGAGGCATTCCCTTTAAGTGGGTGCCCTTAGCTAATATCAGTCCAGTCTTCAACAAGACAGACGGACAGTACCCAACTCATAAATCTGTGCTTTTTTGTTTTTCAGTTATTTGGGGCCAGGACTGTTTTTCTCCACTCTCGACCTGACACCAGTGCATTTGATAAAGGGTTAGAATGCTGTCTACATTTTCATCCTCTACCTAACGTGACTACCGTTTTCTGCAAAGCCCTTGTCATGGATGACCACTCCAGACAACCAAGATCTGGTTCTGTCGCCTGCCCCTCCAGTATTCACACTTCTGTGGAGACTGTGGCTATTTTCACAGGCGTGCCACTATTTCACATGGAGGCCTGGAGGACGTAATGTGAGAAGGTTTCTCTTTGAACACCGCACAAGCCAAACAGCTCAGCAGGCGGGCATACAGCAGGCATGAGGTCTACTCACTCTTTGGTCAGGAGAGGACAGGACTTGAGCAGAAAACGCGAGAGTCCGGAGTCCTGGAAGTAGAGGTCAGGGGGGGCTGTGGGGCTCTTCAGATTCAAACACCGGACGATCACGTACAGCACGGCAGCCACTGCGGCCAGCTTCACCCCGTCAAACACGGCCGGGAGCTCAGGGGTCTCCAGCATGGCATTCATCTTGATCTAGGGAGTAGAGGCACAGTGAGTTGGAGTGGAGCCCACACACTAGGTGACAAAGCCCGTAATGACAGATTATGATCCAGATGTGTCCACAGGGCTCACCAGGTAGATTGCCATCAGTGACTTACAGCCACCAGAGAACTGGCAACAGTCCAAATCACAAACTGTCCTGAGCACTGATAGGCTGGGTGGGGTAGCTCTGTTTCATGTAAATGGAAAGAACACTTCTAAGATAAACAAATTGGAAAATGCTGAGTATGGAGTCCTTTGGAGAGTGTGAGAAAGAAGTCCAGTCAGAGAGGGAGGAATCAACTCTGATATCTGTTAACAGGCAGCCTCCAATCCCTCTGCAGACTTAACCTGCCCCTGGGGCACCAGGTGTGTGTGAAGTAACAGAGATTGGGCTGGGACTGCTCTGTCTGCTGGTCCCACCCCTCTATTTTTAGAACAGAATGAGATAAAACCACCTGGGCCTGACTCGACCACCTGCTCCTAGGAGGGCCCTGGAGTAAAGTTCAGACCCAGCCCAGGTTGCAGGGGTCCTTTTTCCTGGAGGTTTCGGGCAGTATGAAACTGAGCTCAGCCAATTTTTTCCTCCACTAATCCAAAATTAGGCTAAAAGTGGACCAAATTTAATTGCTAAAATTAAAAATCAGTGTATGGAAAATGTGTGTGCATGCTTTTCCCAAGCACTCCAAATATTTTATCTTTTGAAGTAGCTTTACCTTATATATGAGACACAGATGCACGCAACCCTCCAAACACATACAACCAAACAACAACCAAAACCCAGTCTTTTCCTCGCTGCTCAGCAGGAAAACAGAACATTAGCTGTCACCTTAAAAATCAGGGAAACCACAAGCTAACAAAAAAGGAGAAAGTGGGAACATAGCCAAGGTAGCTATGGCAACAGCTTCCCCTGGAATGGCTTCAAGTAGCCTCGGCTAAAAACAGTCAGCACGAGAACTCTGGTGGCCAACGACAGGGCAGACAGAACAGGCAGGACCAAACAATCTCCCCAAAACATGTTTGGGGCATAACAGAATGAACTCTCTCGAGGCCCACGGCAAGGCCAGAGGGGACAGAAACCTTTTTCTCAAGTCAAGGTGACCGGCAAATACAGGATGTAAACACACTGCTGAAGATCTCCGGCAGGGGCTCTCGGCTCAGTGAGGAAGGCAACTAAAGATCACAGCTCTTTAGCTCGCCTTCCAACACCAGGGCAAGAAAAGAATGTTTAAAAATGCATCCGACACAATTTCGAGTCCAGGCTAGACCTCCGAATATACTTTCAACTGCATCCACCTTTAAGAGCTGACAGTTTCCTTAAAACTCAACTTCTGGGGACATGTCACCTCATTCCTGGGGCTATGCCACCCCCCTCTCAAAAGACTGGCTATTTATAAACCCCTAAAACAAGACTGCACTCGAAGATGTCCTATGGGTTCAACTTGCGCCCCCCCCCCTTTCAGAGCACTGTCACCTGTGCAGGTCAAGCCAGCGAGAAACAAACATCCAAAACAACGCAGCTCATTAATACGGGTTTTTAAGTCTAGTGAGGGAAGTGCCAAAAACAAGATCCAGCAGGAACTCCAACATTTCTCTGACATGGAACCGAAACAGATGCTCTTTCTTGCCCTCTTTGTCGGAAGGAGAACAGAGGATCACAGCAGGTGGCTGGCTGTACCAGTTTCCTCGTTGGTGTAGACTTAATGAATTAAAAAAAAAAGTCCTCCCCTCCCCACTGAGGAACATAAGGGCAGGGGGAAGAGGAGTCAAAATAAGAGCCAGGGCAATACATACTTATGTCCCTTGTTCCTCTCTGCTGCGAATATTAAGTGTCCTTGAAGAGTTGTACAGCTGGGCCGGTCAGGTCAGATCTCGTATTCAAATTCACCTAAAAGCTGAAAAGATTGGATGGTGATGAGAAAGAAGCAATTTAAATGAAATAAATACAAGCACAGTCTGCACCTCTCCGCATTTCAAGTCTTTAGGGAAAACACGAGTCTCTGTAGCCAACGTGTGTGCCACACTCCTGGCCGTTCGAACAGACCTGCTGGGGGAGCCTTTGTCAATCCACAGACTGATGGGCTCTCTCCGGTTTCCGGGAGGAGTTATCTGCTGCGCTCAGAACTCGGGCCAAAGCAAACTCACCCTGCTTTTACCCTTCATCTGGTAACATGATCTGCAGAAGCGCCTGACAGGTACCGTTTCTATGTGACCAATGACACAACTGAACGAGGCTTTAGGTCAGGATCGCAGTTGGTTTACTCATTCTTTCTCTTCCAATGTACAGCAATGACGGAAAAAAAATGCATGCTGAGAAAAGTAAAAGGGCATAGACGGACTGAAAATCATGGTACCAGAAACAGAACAGAACTGAAAGTACTGGGCGGGGGAGCCGCATGGCCTGCTGGGTCTGGGTCCAGGCTGGGGGCAGGAGGCTGGCTGCGGAGCGGCACCAAGCGCTAAAAGTGCTCCCTGGGACACAGGGGGCCAGAGCAGGGCCCACTGTGCGAAAGATCTACGGTTCCAAAGCAGCAGAGAAAACAGAAAAGAGAACGGTGTTTACATAACACGACCTACGTGCCAAGCTCAGCTGTTCACACAAGCGTTTAATTCTTACCACACCCTATTAAGTAGGTACTATTATTATCTCCTTTTACACATGAGGAAACTGAGGCACAGAAAACTTGAGTAAGTTGACAAGGTCACACAGCTAGCAGGTAGAGAAGCTAGGGTTCACATCTGGCTCCAGACACCCTCGTCTTAGCCACCACTCTGTGCTACTTGAAAGCAGGACGAGTAGAAAGAGAGAAGCAAGTGAGAAAAAAAACGGGTGGTACAGAAAACACAGATGAGACACCACCAGAGGTTTGCCCAGAGTCACACAGCTGTGAAATAGTCAAGCCGGGGTTCCAGCCCAATTTTCTCTGATTCCACCACCCCAAAATGATTTAAACAGAAAATGAAAGCCAGTTGAAGGGGAGATTTCAGGGTAGTCTTGTTCAACTGCAAGTTTTTGTTATTTCTTTGTATTCTGTGACAAATTAGCCACAGAGAACTAAGTTTTGTTGAGGTGGGGCCAAAGAGCAAAGTCTGTAGCCACATCACAGGCGCTTACTTAACCTCCCCAGGGCTTCACTGCCAACTGGAAAATGAGGGATGGACCCTAAACCAGCCCACGGAAGGCACTGCGTTTGGCGGGTATTTTTAACAACTGAATGTATTGGCTGCCAAGTCAAAACCCCCAGGGCATTTCAGATAACAATCTAGATTTCTGGTTTGTCCTGAAAAAAAACAAAATCAGAAGATATGGCACCACGCAACCAGCATTCTCCAATGGCAATGATGCATGGAGCTGAGTGGCGGTGGCCCCCTTTAAATGGGCATGCTCTCTCTTTGCCACAGTCCCCACCACTCCCTATCATGGTCCTCAACACTGACTTCTGACCTACCTACTCATTGATGGTCTCTGAATGGTTCCTGCAGGCATCTGAATATGCAACCCTTGGAAAAATCTAAGGTCCCTTCTAATGCTGGATAAGTCTGTACCAACTGAATATTCATAAAACACTATCAATATGTGTATAAATGACAAATTCATAGGAAAGGATTGTGGAAAGACAGAGTGACAAATAACAACATGTAGTACATTCTGCTTATTATTAGTATTATTATTGTTATTATTTTTAATTGGGGAATTGGGGAAGGGGAACAGACAAGTTGCTGTCCTTTTCGTTCTTCAGTCTAGTTGTGGAGGACATCGCTTCACTGGCCTATGTTGGTATTTTGATCATTGCGCTCTTCATGGCTGAGGCAGTCGGTCACCGGCCATTGGACAGCAGCTCACGGCAGCTCACACCCACTGCCGGCCAGCCCCACTGCAGCCTACACCGTCGCTGGCGACTCACGGCAGCCCTGCTCGAGGTCGAGCTGTTGTTCACCATCTTAGCTGTAGAGGGCGCAGCGTCACTGGCCCTCATGTGGGATCCAAACCAGGGCCCTGCTGCTCAGAGCTCACGTCCCAAGCCAACTCCTAACCAACTGGGCCACTCGGCCAGCCCCACATTGTGCTTATTGATGTGTACCTCGATGTTTACGCCTTGATGTCAACGACCCACTATTTGAGATTGCTTCAACAAAACACTGAAGAGATGGGTGTAAAGATTCAGAAACGTAGCAGTCTGCTGATTGTTTCCCCAAAAGAAGTCTCTCCTGCCTCATGACAGAAACCTGGAAATGTGCCTTGCTGGGAAAAAAAAACTACAGACCTCAGTCTCGCTTGCTGGTAGGTGAGTCCATGGGACCACACTGTGGCCATTTCTGGGGGGTTGGTCTCTTTGTGGGGAGAATCTCTAAAAGGCAGGGAGTTAATTCTTCTGCCCTTTTCCCTTCTTGTGTCTCCGGGATGCAGACCACATGGCTGCAACTCCAGCAGCCATCTTGGGCCATGAGGTGACCTTGGGGTCACTCTAGAGGCCACATTAAGAGGACAGCCAAGTAGAAAGACAGAAGCCTGGCGTCCCTGGTGATTGCATGGAGCCACCATATCAGACCTAGACCGCCTACCTCAGGGTTTCTTTTACGTGAGAGAATAAACCCTTGCATGTTTAAGCAACTATTATTTCTAGACTCTTTGAGTCTGCAATTTCTAATGGCACAGGAGGAAATGCTATATACCCATATCGTTATGGATGCTACAATGCTGGGTTAGTAGAGTACAGGCAATTTTTCTTTTTTTTTTTNTGAAATGACCAAAAGTGGCCATGTATGAGAGAGAGGGAGGGAGGGAGGGAGGGAGGGAGGGAGAGAGAGAGAGAGAGAGAGAGAGGACATCTGTTCCTGTAACTGGTTTCTAAATACAGACTACAGGCCACCGGGGCGAGCTGGGACCTCTGGCTCATCGTGTAAGCTAAAAAACCCGAATGTTAAGAGAGAACAGGCACATGAGTTACAACAAAACCGCTTAAAAAGAAAATACGCTTTCTGCTCTAAGGAAAAATAAACTCAATTTTAAAGTTCAGAGAAAACCAGTGAACACCCTTCAGAATGATATCCACGTGCTAAGTGTCTCTCTCTGATCCCAGTATCTTCCTGTTCCACAGACAGTGTTCGGGACTGGTCAGACTCCCCCCCACACACAGACGGCAGCACAGCCCTCTCTCCTCGTGTGTATCTCGAGCTGGTTCTGACATTATGTTTTATGTGGGCTTGGAGTTTATGAAGAGGCTCCAGGGTTCCACCTGACAAATGCCATCCATGGGAGAGCTCGTCCTGCAAAGAGCAAGGCTGGTGTCAGATACCTAACTAGGAGGACGCGTGGCAGCTCCTGGAGTCCAGTGGCTCCTGGAGTTCAGGCTGCGCACAGAACACACTACTCCCCTGTCCCTCCTTTCCTGTTGCTAAATTATGGATTTGGAAAAACTGCCTGTGCTGACCAAACAGGACGGGTGCTGACGCCCGGCACACAGACCACCTTTTTTTGCCCCTGTCTCCCCCACTCACCCCTCTCCCGTCTGGAGGACACGCACATATCTACGTCAACGGTCTGTTCTTCGCCCAACCCAGCACTACCTTTCGCCGTGTCTTGGCCAAAGACCACCTCAAAATCTATGCCAGAGCTGGGGCGGAGGGAAGAGGAGAGCTGAAGAATCGCATCGTATCTGCTACCATTCCTCGTGGGGGAAGCTGAAAGCTCCTGCATTACCGACATGGGGTGCCCTTCAAGAACACGTTTATTAAGAGATGACTATGAGAATTACAGTGCTGACATTCAACATGAATCAGCACATGTCTTGTCTTTCTTTAATGTGAAGAAAATAATTCACGAAATGGCAAGCAATGGCATTAAGAAAGACATGGGGGACCGGCTGAGTGGCTCAGTTGGTTAAGAGCTCGCTCAAAGGTTTAAGCTCTGAGCAACAGCGGTTCTAGTCCTGGCCCGAGCTGAGCTGCCGCTGAGCTGCCAACAGGTGGCAGGATGGCTCAGCTAAAAAAAAAAAAAAAAGACATGGGTTCTTAACATATTTAATTAAAAATATGCTTCGTTTACACACACACACACACACACAGTGCCAAAAAAATGTGTGCACATTTTTAAGAAAGGAAAGCAGTATTAAAATTGTAATAGTCAATATATACCAATAACAAAACATGAATACAAGTCACATTTGACTTCTGCAATTACAAGAAGTGCTCAAAGTGGTTACATCATCGTCCGGACACTTCTGATTATGGCGAACTACTGCTTGAGCAACGCTGACCAAAGTGTCCACTTGTATACATTTTTTGGCACCCCCCAGTATATATATCATTACTAATAACCCACACTCAGAGGATGACTCCACTCTTGTCCCCAGGGAGTTCACAATCGTGAGAGGGAGATAAGAAGAAAAATTTATAATGCTCTTTAGGAATTAAGAGACTGGAAGAAATGAATTTGCATTAGAAAACTTGGCATCACAAACATGTCAATTCTCCCTAAATTATCTATAAACTTAGTAGATACACAATAAATATAACAGAATGCTTATATTTGGATTTAAACAAGCATTATAAAGTTCATATGGAAAATGAAGCAGCTATAATAGCCAAGGAAATTATGAAAGAGTAGTGAGGGGGTAGTAGCGCCACCCTTGCAGTAAAATATATTATAAAGCTGCAAATGGTATATTCATGGTTATCAACAGACTGAAATATGACTAAGTATGTCCAGGAAATTTAGCATGAGAAAAAGGTGGCATTTCAATAAATGGGGTAAAGATGGGTTATCCAATAAAAGATGCTACGCAAAGGGTAGCGCCTAGAAAAATATGAAGCCATACTTCACATCAGGATAATTTCTAGAGGGGATCAATCATTTAATAGAAAATGAAACCATACATGTGCTAGAAGAAAGTTT